GAAGGGCAGAGAAGAAGAGAGGAAGAAGACAAGACACAGGCTCTTGTCCATGTGAGGCACTACCAGCTGTCAAAGGGCTTGGCTGCAGACACCCACCGCCATCCTTGGATCTCCCTGGCGCCTAGTCGCTCCGGAAGGGAACATTGAACCCACGAAGCCCACGAAACCCACAGCGGCCGTATCCGTGCCAGCAATATCATGCTACGACCTCCCCCGTTGCCAATCCTCCTAGCCGCCTTGGTGCCAGCGGCGCAGTCGATTCTCGTACCCTCTGGCTCGCCATGCGCTGCCAACTGTGGTAATATCCTGGACAAGACCGCTCCGGAGGACCTAGTTTGCAGCCAGGGCAGCTTTTCGTCTGATCCTACGGGGCAGCAGTTTGCCGCCTGTGTCGATTGCGAGAGATCCAGCACCTACCACAGTGGGAATGACAGCGACATCCAGTCTATGCTTTGTAGGTACCACGTCTCTCGGGCCAGCCGACGAGTCTGCTGACAGGCGAATCGTCAAGATAATGTCCGCTATGCGTTGTCCTATTGCGTTTGGGGCGATGCGCCGGCAAAGAACCCCAAGGTTGCCAACACGCCTTGTATTACTACGTGAGATTCCTTTTGCTCTTCTCCTGCGGCTCTGGTCAACTCCAATACTAACACCCGAGCAGCAAGGCATGCGGGCCGTTCAAGAATGCGGTGCAGTTCAAAAACTTGTCTTCGACCTACGACGCCTACCAGTACTGTGATCTCTGGCCGACGGATGATGCTCCAGACTTCCAGGGCTGCACTGATTGCCTGCAGGCTGAAGGCAGGCAGTACATGGCCAACTGTGAGCGTTCCTCTCGTACCGACTCACCCCGTCCAGCCTGCTGACTCTTCCCTTGATGTAGTTGTCATTGCCCTCCAGGCCGGCTGCCAGCAGAAGCCGCCGGCGGGCCTCTACATTGGGCTCGACGGCGAGCTCTTTTCCACCACGGCTGTGCAAATCTCAACGCCGAGTCCCACGGCGACGGTCAATCCGGCTTGGTTTGACCACGGCCCCTTGAACCTTGGTGCCAAGGTTGGCATTGCCGTTGGCGCGCTTGTAGCACTCCTCGTTGTTGTCGGATGCTGCATCATCTGGAATGGGAAGCGCCGCAGAAAGGCATATCTGCGAGATCGGGACACCAAGATTGCGCAAAGGGGCTGGCCATCGCCTACCCAGCAGCGAGAGATGGGCCAGGCTCCTGCACCACAGTCGTTTCGCGGCTACGACGACACCCCCGTCAGCCAACGCCCTCTCCGGGGCCACGGATGGGATGACACTCCCGTGAGCCGGCAGGGCTCTCGGGGCTGGGATGACTCCCCCGTGAATGCAAACGGCGAGAAGCCGCTTCCCAGATACTTTTCGCCGTATTCCAGCCAGTACAACAGCCCCGTCAGTGCGCGTGATGGGCAGGCCATGCCATGGCCGCAAGGAGCGTTGCCCCCGAATCAGCATGCCGGCGTTGCGGCCGGTGGCGAGGCCTCCGGTGAGCGCCGGAGCGCAGTTTCGGACGACAAGGGCAAGGCGAGAGTGGAAGCTTATGAGATGCACCTGGTGGATACCAGCGAGAGCAGCAGCTCAAGAAGCCAGCCGCCCAGAGACCGGAGCGAGGCGCCTGTGCTGAACCATCCGGGTTATGGGAGGGATGGGAATGTACCCGCGCCTCAACTAGCGGTGACAGACCACGATGCCAGACGTGGAAATGTCGTGTAGAGGGTCATTCGAGGGTGACAGATTGCGCCGAGTGAAGGGCATTGGGATGGGCTATTATTTTTGCATGGTGTTGGGTGTTGAATGAGTTCGGGTTCTCCTTACTCTGTATTTAATGTCTTGTGGAAAGGTCGGGCAATAATCAGCCACTTATTATGACTGCATACGCAGCGAAATATATCCCATTAGCATCCAACATAACAATTGAAAACTCAAGCAAGACGCGACAAAACGTTTCTTGCCTGCGCCTCGCAAGGATTTATAAATGTGGCTAGTATTGTGGCTTACACGAACCCCTACCCCAAAAGGGACTAGCTTGCTTTCTCAGCCACACCGCCAGCTTAAAGTCCCCACAAGCAAAAGGGAAAAGAGAAAAAAAAAATTAGAAGCTTTTCAAACCGCCACTGGCACTCAGTGCAAAAACATCACCACGAACCTGCAAGCACGCCCTCGTCGAGCCACCCCCATACGAGTGTGCATTATACACTGGCTGCAGGATCCCGGTTACATTATCAGTTCAAGATGACGATGGAAGTTGTCAAAAGCCTGAAGGAGGAGGAGGAGCACACCATCAAGCCCCAGGCCGTGACACCTGCCGTGGACACGAGCTCGTGGCCTTTGCTCCTCAAGAACTACGACAAGCGTGAGTGCCAAAACGTCCTGAAAGTGGTCAATTGGTTTCTTACTCTGGGTGGAATCAATTGAGCACGTGAGAGATGGACAGATTGACTGACAACTTGTGCCTGCAGTGCTTGTCCGAACTGGCCACTTCACACCGATCCCCAATGGCTGCTCTCCGTTGAAGCGAGACATCAAGTCTTATATCAGCTCTGGTGTCATTAACCTCGACAAGCCTTCCAACCCTTCCAGTCATGAAGTCGTCTCTTGGGTCAAGCGTATTCTTCGGTTCGTGGGCCTTTTTTTTTTTTCAAATCTTGAAATGGCGGAAGACATTGTTGCTAACTGATGCAATAGCGTTGAAAAGACTGGCCACAGCGGTACCCTCGATCCCAAGGTCACTGGCTGCTTGATTGTCTGCATTGACCGCGCCACTCGGCTGGTCAAGTCCCAGCAGGGTGCCGGAAAGGAATACGTCTGCGTCATTCGCCTCCACGACAAGCTTCCTGGCGGTCAGGCCCAGCTCGCCCGCGCCCTCGAGACGCTCACCGGTGCCTTGTTCCAGCGTCCTCCCCTGATCTCTGCTGTTAAGCGTCAGCTCCGTGTCCGAACCATTTACGAGAGCAAGCTTATCGAGTTTGACAATGATCGCCACCTGGGTGTCTTCTGGGTCAGCTGCGAGGCCGGTACCTATATTCGAACTCTTTGCGTGCACCTCGGCTTGCTTCTTGGTGTTGGTGCGCACATGCAGGAGCTGCGTCGTGTTCGCAGCGGTGCTATGGATGAGAACAAGCACATGGTTACTCTTCATGACGTGCTCGATGCTCAGTGGACCATGGACAACACGCGTGACGAGTCCTACCTTCGCCGCGTTATCGCTCCTCTTGAGACCCTCTTGACTGGCTACAAGCGACTTGTTGTCAAGGATAGTGCTGTCAATGCTGTGTGCTACGGTGCGAAGCTCATGCTTCCCGGTCTTCTGAGATATGGTATGTACAGTTTCAAGTATGCAATGGTTCAGAACGACGGACTAATTAATGGGTACAGAGTCCGGTATTGAGCACCATGAAGAGGTTGTCCTCATGACCACCAAGGGCGAGGCTATTGCGATTGGTATTACTCAAATGTCTACTGTTGAGATGTCTACTTGCGACCACGGCGTGGTGGCCAAGGTCAAGCGTTGCATCATGGAGCGCGACTTGTACCCTCGACGCTGGGGCCTCGGCCCTGTCGCCCAGGAGAAGAAGAAGCTCAAGGCTGATGGAAAGCTGGACAAGTTTGGTCGTCCCAATGACAGCACGCCTGCCAAGTGGACCTCGGAGTACAAGGACTACGGCGCGGCTGATGCCTCCACTGCCGCCGCCGCCGCCGCCGCCGCTCCGGCCCCGACGCCTGTGAAGGTTGAGAAGATCAAGATGGAGATTTCTACGCCTCCTGCCGATGACGGCGAGAAGAAGAAGCGAAAGAAGCACGAGGGCGAGACTGCGGATGAGAAGGCGGAGCGAAAGCGAAGAAAGGCGGAGAAGAAGGCGGCCAAGGCTGCCAAGAAGGCGGCAAAGGGCGAGGCCGGATCGGACGATGACAGCGACTGAGTGGCGCGGCGGCAGTTTGGACAGTCGGTGAGGCAGGGGAAAGGGAGTTTTGTTCTTTTTACTCTTGTTGATATGTGGACGGTCTCGCTGTACCATATTCTTGTGACGTTGGGCACACGGCGTTTGGCATAAAATGTTTTGGGAGGCGTAGCTGAGAAACTCAATACGACTACATCAATGAAGCGCCGGTGTACTCCGTATATTGCTCGTTGCAACCGTGCCGCCGTGTTTTTTTCTTGCGATACATGTCCAGATTGGCTGGGCTTCACCGAGGGACGTGTACTGCATACAATTTGGGGCCATCTGGAGTATTGCTGGCGAATGCCGTGCCCCGGTCGTGTGATGTCTGGTTTCTAATCCACCAGACGCCTGATGACGAGCCCACGCAAAAAGCTCAAGTGTGATATTCGGAAACGGCGCCCGGATTGGCGACCACTCGGCCGCATGGCATGTTCCTCGGAGGTTTTTTTTTTTTTCTCCTTCTCATTTCCTTGCTGAAATGAGTTCGCCTCGCATGCTGCAAAGACCCCTGGCAAGGCGAACAACCGAATGCGACGTCACACATATGTACTAATTTTTTAAGCGCCCGGCTGGGACGCACAGCACGCGCCCCTGGCATCCTGCGCCTCTGATTCGGCGACGCAACAAAGGGCTGCCTTTTCGCCTTTAACCGCCCGTGCCACCACCAGCACTGGTGATTGGGGTGATGAGTGCCGTCGTGCCTCTTGCGTGTGATGTGCGTGCGTGCGTGCGTGCGGGGAGGAAGCCTGCGACGCTGCGCTGTGACGGGGTAGATATTGCGAGCGTGCTGCTGTTTGTGCAACCCGTTGGTTTCTGCGTCTTCCGCCTCTGTTGTACAGAAACTTGGACGGAGTACGGAGCACGGAGTATCAATCGTCGAGAGAGGTTGTTGGCCGGCAATCTCCCCCCCCTCTGGCCAACTTGATGAGCACCCCCGGATTCCCAGTCAAGAACAAAGAGCGCCCGGCTGGGTAGACAAAACATCCCATCTTGACCGCTGCTCAACCATCACCTAGGAAGAAAAAAAAACCATCCGCCATCATGGCCTCGAGAAGCCGCCGCCTCCTGCTGCTGCCGCTGCTGCTCGCCGTGTCCGCGGCCGCCCTCCAGGTGACGCCCAACTCGCCCTGTTCGTCGGCGTGCATCGACTCGGCCGGGCTGGACGCCTCGGACCCCAACTCGTCCAACACGCGCGCGGGCGACATTGTCTGCGCCGACGGGCAGTTCGACGCCGACGCCGACGCCGCGGGGCGCAAGCTGAGGACCTGCCTGGCGTGCCTGCAGGGCAGCACGTACACGCAGGGCGGCGAGGGCGACCAGGCCTGGTTTCTGTGTACGGCCTCCCCCGGGCCCCCGTTGTGAAAAAAATGCGGCGTTGCGCTGACGCCAAGAGCCAGATAATCTCCGGTACGCCCTCGACCGCTGCGTCTTCGGGTATCCCAACGCCACCACGGGCGCGACCTCGAGCCCCTGCGTGACGCCCGAGTCGTGCGGCGCGCTGGCCGCCGCGCTGAAGAGCGACATCACGCGGCCGGGCGCCGTCTCGGCCTTTGCATACTGCGACGTCGACGCCGGCGCCGCCACGGGCATGTACTTTGAGAGCTGCCTGCAGTGCGTCCAGGCAGACGGGCAGCACGCCTACCTGTCCAACTGTAAGGAGCACGTCTGTAAAGCGAAAGAAAGGAAAATGACGCTAACCCGACATACTAGTCCTGGTCGTCCTCGAAGCAGCCTGCCTCCAGCGACCGCCGGCCTCGCTGCTCGTGGGCGTCAACGAAACCGTCTTCTCGCGGCACACTATTGCGGTGACGCAGAGCTGGCCGCCGGCGTCGTCGTCGCCGCCCGCCTCCCACGCAGCCCTGTCGACCCCGGCCATCGTGGGCGTCGCCATTGTGGGCGTCGCCGCGCTCGCCCTGCTCTCCGGCTGCGTCTACATGCAGGTGCGCAAGCGGCAGAACAGACGCAACCGGGCGCGGCGCACACTCTCGTTCCGGTGCCGGACGGCGGCGGCGGCGGCGCCCCCCGCGCCCGCGCCCGCGTACCACGACGACGACTACGACGACGAGCGCTTCTTCGAGAAGAGGCGCCCCGGCTCGCGGGACGCGTCTGTCGTGAGCATGAGCCCCGTCGCGCGGTCCAAGCCGTGCGCGTGGCCGCTCAACATCACCACCACCATCGCCGATGTGCCGGCCCCCGAGCCGGCGTACGTGAGCCCCGTCTCCGCCGGGGGCGCTTCGTCGCCCGACGACGCCACGCCGCGGTCGAGCGCGCCGCTGCTCAGCCCCGCCAGGGCGTTTGCCAACCACTTGCACTTTGCGGGCGGCGCTGGGCACGCGGCCGCACGACCGCCCGGGTCTCCTGTGCAGGGGGCCAGG